TAATGGTACATATGCAGCCAAAGTTTTCATATACTACGTATATAACTAGATCCACCGATTTTGGACTCAAAGCTTTCTTCAGTTAAGGAAGCACAAACAAGGTCTAAACCATAAGTGCCTTTTAGCAATTTTACATTATTTTGTTTTCAAGTATGGAGTCATGATAGATTGATAGTAAAAAAAAGTACTTTACCTTCATGTTACCAGCTCTCCTGCCAAAGCGCTGAGTCAACAACACAAGGGAGTCAATTGCTCCCTTGGGCTCTGGTGCTGGCCTATTTATAGCAGCAAATGCCTCCCGAATTCGTGGACAGTCAAACTTAAGTATGTTATGCCCCGCCCATATTCTCCCTATATTATGTGTGCATCATAACAAATAATAATGAGTACTCAATAATTTCGAAAATTAACACAAAAAAACTAGAATATCATGTGACCAACTGACAATTAAAGGTGACCCACTCAAGCACTCATAAGTCATATCCAGATGATACAAAATACAGACCACTGTAAAAGACCCATACTCACTATTTCATCCAGATGTTAAAGACACCATCAATTAAGGTTAAAGAAATTTTTCTAAATAGTAATAAAAACGTTTTGGAATTCCAAAATAGGAACGATACGCTTTAGTTCCTAGATAGTGGAACTACTACCAGGGAATTTAATGCCATAAAATGGCAGTACACCGAGTCACTGACATATTTAATGCCTGAAAATGTCAAACTCGAAAATAACATAGACTCATATGTCAAGAAATCAGTTCACATCACTATGTCAAGAAACTTTACCAGATATGAGCAGCATAAAAAAAATATCATGCTTTAAGTTTGAAAAAATCAGCTTATAAGCTAGGACTCCATTTGCTTCCAAGTTCGAAAAAAATAGCTAAAACATAAGAACCTCATTTGCGATTACAAGGGATAGCAAAGAAACGGCCAAATTGTGCGGCGAGGGGGTTACCGTGAAGAAAGCCATAGACTTTGTCGGCGATATCCGCAAAAGCCGGGGCGGAAACGACATCGTCTTCGCGAATACCGTTGCAGAGAACAGAGCGCGCAGTGATGAGCGAGAGATCAGCGGGTCGGACCAAGGTGGAGAAACTGTCCAGCTCGACTAGCTTCCTGGGGCAAACCAGGATCCCTCCGAACTCCAGAAGCGCGTGGCCCTGGCCGGATCGGGTCGGGATCGTCGTCTCTACGTCGAAAAAAGCTATCTCTGGCATATCCCGGCCCTCCATCATTCGAAGTTCCCAAAGCGTAACAATTTGAAAAGTGGGAGGAAGAACGCAAGTGGCGCGAAATTGAAGAATTTCTCTGCAACAGCGATGACCTGCATGTATTAATAACTTGTTACCCTCCCGTACTTTATGAGCATGAGTATGGGTTTAGGTTTGGGTTGCTTATTGGGGAGGTAAGGTTTTCGGATTTTGGGAGCTAACGTGTGAATTGTGAAATGCGCAGAGCACTGCATCTAAGGAAGCATCTGCTGGGGCGATTCATTCGGTGTGGGTTATAAAAAACCTACACCCGTGCACCCTGTGAGGTGTATCACTAATATTGCTCCATTTGTACCCATTAACCATGTCATTCTTTTGTTTTTTACATTGGCATTTACATTTAAATGCAGGGTCATCTTAGCAATTTATACATTTTTCATTTTAGCTTATTTTTTCTTTGATGTCAAGTCAACTTTCTTCCACTTTCTCTTTCTTTCCTTCTCTTTCATTTCCCTGCAACTTTTCTCCATTGAAGAGCATTCTACTGCAAATTCAAATATTTATGTAGTAAAATTTAATTCTTTTTTGGGTTACAATTTCCTGTCTTTGTCTATGGTGGATGGCTTGAAAATCAATTTTACTCCGTTGGGTTTTGACCTGCGCTACATCATCATCGTGTCGTCCCTTCCCATCTGATGGCCGCCGTCTAGTGCCGACGAAGAGGGGATTAAATCCAGTTTGATTTTGGTAAGGTGTTTTTTGTGAATGAGGGAGAAGAAACCCTCGATGTGGCTGCCGCCTGTGTCGTGAGCGGAAAGCTCTCTGGCAGCCGTTAATGGCGGACAAAGACCGTCGAGCTATTATAACAGTTCGTTGATACGTGAGGGTGACCAAGAGCAAGGCAGTAGGTGCTGCAACAGAAGTAGTAAGGCACATACTCTGACTCGTTCGTCTCTCTCACGAGCTCTAAGGCGGCCATTAATGGCCGCAACTTCCGTACTTGGAGCACGACATACTCAACTCACGACGGCAGCTCTGCGGCGGCGAGATCTGGAGATGGTGTAGGGAGTTTCAGTGGACAACAAGCTTAAGTCCATGACACACAGCTAGACGTGGATGGCTCCGGTCGGTTGCTCCAAGCTCCCATCCGGAATAGATCTGAATATGAAATTCCAGATTCTTCTATCATCGTTTTTTTTAACATTTCCAGAACAGTTTTAGTGGATTTTGTGTAAATGAGATGAATTTTTTTTTATTTTTGGGAGGAAGTAATAAGTTTATTTGGATTCTTGTCTTCTTTGATTTCTGCGTTCTCTTCATACCGAAAAAAACTTGAACAATGATGAAGAACCATGATGAAGACGCATAATAAAATTACCTAAAATTTGTTCTAGGTATTTTTCTCTTTTCTTATTTCTTTTCTTAAAATTTTGAGTTTAATTTTTATTGCTATTAATTCATACCTATTTTTTAAAATCAATAACGGAAAGATTTTAAAAAAGTAATCATAAGAACTTAATTTTACCTCTTGAATTATTTAAGAAAAGTTTTGGGTTTAAAAACATTTAACAATTAAAATTTTAATTTTTTAGTTTTTGTACATGGTTAAATGGGTAGAATTTGTACATGGTTGAATGAGTTAATGTAGAAGGTTGAATGTGTAGAATGTGTAGAGGGTTGAATGGTTGATTGTGTAGAGAGTTGAATGGGTTGAATGTGTAGAGGGTTGAATGGGTTGAATGTGTAGAGGGTTGAATGGGTTGAATGTGTTGAAGGTTGAATGGTTAGTGGAGAGTGAAATGGGGGTAGAGACTTATATTTGAAGTTTAAAAAATTAAAGTTCTACATCTAGAACTCATTTCTTGTCACTTTTATTTCTTAATGAGATTTTAATTTTAACACTTGAATTTATTTAAAAACAATTGCGTCTAAGAAGCTCATACAATTGAAAGTTGAAATGTTGTTAAAACTATATATAAGTAATATTGCTATCATATGATTTATAATAAAAAAAAATGTGAATTTTGATATGTTGTTTGAAAAAATTGAACTACAAATAAAAAAACTATAATACTTGACAAAAATTATTATGTTTTGTCTGCCCTACCCTTTTTATTCCTTTCACACAAAATGTTGTTGCCTCTAGCAGCTTAGTAGGTTGCTGATCACCAAAACGAGGAAATTGCTCGCCAAAAAAGAAACTCTGATCTCATTGCTTTTAAAATGACATAATGTTTTATTTGTAATCTAATTTTTATTTGAAATATATTAAAATTCATAATTTTTTTATGATTTTCATTATGACACCAATGTTAAGTATAAAAAGTTTAAAAGTAGTGTTTTAATTCATTATACTCATCTATTCAATAATAAACCATCTCGTACGTTTTTAAGGGGTTGAAAAAGGGGGAAGTGTTGGGAGTTCAATGTTTGTTGCATTCATTGAATTGGGGCAGCAGCTTGCTACGCAAAAGGAAAGAAAAGGCAAAATCTCATTTTCCGTTACAATTTTGTATTTTCTATTTGTACTCCTACTTATACGAAAAGTATATCAAAATTCATAATTTTTTATGATCTTTCATACAGAGTATGATTTCTACATTGAATATTTAAAGTTTAAAAAATTATAAATTTTTAATAGCAAATGGTTTTCTGACCTACAATTTTTTTTAAATTGTTTCAAATACTCTGTAGTAAAATTAAGATCTCATTGTTAAATTATTTTTTGTAGCTTCAACTATTTCTTTTAAAAATAGGTCCGAAATAACAATAAAAAAATTAAACACCAAATGCTATTATGCCCATTCTACATCCTATTCTACAAATTTCTTGTTGGAAAATGCGTTAATAAATTGTATGAAATGGTCACATGTTGGGGCATTTTTGTGAGCGGGGTCCACTTATGATTTGGATCGGGTCAAAATGGTTCCGGATTGTTCTTACTTAGGGCTACAATTCGATATATGGTACGCTCAAAACGGATAACGGTGTGAACGAGAAATTGATTCTCGAAGTCACTCGTTGGAATGCTACTGCGGCAGGAGGCTGCTGCTCCCGGTGCAACCCCGTTGGCACGAGGCTGCTGCTCCAGGTGCAGTCCCGTTGGCAGGCTGCTGCTGCCAGGACGCTACATCATTAAGGCCATTAACGTCCAATGTTCATGTCCATTAAACATCCATTAACACACCTTCAAATCCTTCCTATAAGTAGCTAGCACGTGATTTACAACGATACACCACTCACAAACGTAGGCTGCTGCGGACGTCCCAGCAGTAGGCTGCTGCGGACTGTCCTGCCGGCAGCAGGCTGCTGCGGACTGTCCTGCCGGCAGTGGGCTGTTGGAGCAGCCGGCTGCTGCTCCATTTCAACGAGTACACTTCGAAAATCGATATCTCATTCACCCGTTATCCGTTTTGAGTGTACCACATATCGAATTTTAGCCCTTAGCAAGGACAATTCAAATCCAATTAGACCCAACCCAAATTGGAAGTGGACCCCACTCAAAAAAAATTCCCCAAAATGACCATTTAATGCAATTTACTAACACATTTTCCAACGGTAAGTAGAATGAGTGTAGAATGGATAGAAGATTGTGTAGAATGGGTAGAATATCACTAAAGAATGGGTAGAATACCATTAAAGTAGTAGTTAAAAATCTTTTCCCTCATGGTCGAATGTTCTATTTTATGGTAATTATAAAATTGAACTAGTATTATAATGATATATATATATATATATATATATATATATATATATATATATATATATATATATATTAACAGTCCATGAATCCATGATATAAATGTATCAATCGACCTCATACCAACCAGAAACAAGCCATATAGCCATGAGGCCCATGAAATAATGATTCTACTTGCAGGTCTACCAAAATTGACTCAACTTCTTCCAATCACAAGGAAATAAAAGGCAAATATGATTTGTATGTATATTAAGTAGAGAAAAACAGAAACCATGCAGAGTAGCCAAATACATCCATCATAGACAGGCTCAACTTTTAGTGTTGCTCATTCTCCTGCTCTATGAAAGGTTCACTGCGTTCATGTTCTGCATCTCCAGCTTCTTCCACAGATTTGTCCACATTTCCATTGCCACTGGAAGGTCGAGCATCATCTACTACATCAGGCCTCCTCCAACTCTTCTCAATTCTTCCCTCAGGTGAGTAGGAACGTCCGCTGCTGCTCCCAAAGCTCTTCTTCCTGGATAAAGAAGAATCAGCAACCTCATTGACCTTTAAAGACTCCAGCTTTTGGTCAATCTCCTTCCAGTCCTGTCCCTTCTCCTTTAACACCTCTTCCCTGGGCCTAGCTTCCCCAAAAGGATTAGACCCGCCCTTGGGTTTTGCTGAAGTAGCATTACCATTCTGCTGCCCCTCGGCTACGGGCAGCGTCCTCGGCTGCAAATTCAACCTGGGCCTCACATTCCCTCCGCTTCCCTCCTCCACTTTCTTTCCCCAGTGATCCGAATCGTTATCATTAGCACCACGCCTTCTATCTCTTAAACTATCAAAAGCGCCGCCTTCAGATTTGAATCTCCACCCCTCCTCTTCTTTCTTCTTTGCCCAATTGTCTGAGTGGTCGCTGCCTCCGCCGTTAGATTCGAAACTGCCTCTCCTGTCGAACCTTCTGCCCTCCGAGGGAAGGAAACTTTTGTTGGCGCCCCAATTATCAGAGCCATCAGCCCTAGACTGCGAATCCGAGAAAAATCCCACCTTTTCTCCTCTGTCCCTTCTCTCAAACCCGTTACCTGCTGTGAATTTCTTGCCTGCTCCCCGGTCATCAGTCTCATCAGCGCGAGAAGGACCGAAATCCCGATCGGATTCCCTCTGCCTACGCGGCTCGTCGCGAGCAGGCCTGTCGTATGAAGATCCGTACGATCTGAAACCGCCACCAAGCCTAGACCGGTCGAGTTCTTCGGCAGTCCGCTCTCGAGGACCGGTGGGAAGAGCCTTGATCTCCTCGTGGGTAAGCCCGACGGATTGGGTTTGTTTGCCGGATCCGTAAGCGGAAAACTCCTGCAAGGAAAGGGTCTGGGGCTTCTTCTTGGTCTTGGTGGCGGCAGCAGTTGACAGGGAAGGGAAGTCCGAGAGAGACGAATCGTTTCCTGCTTTATTGATCAAATCCTGCTTTGCCTGACGAAGAAGCTCTGCATCGTTCTCCTCGGAATCTAAAGCCCAATCGCCAGGCTTTGCCCAAGGGCTCACTGTTGCCGCCATGTATTATAATGACTAGCATGGCAACGCGCGTTGCGCGAAATCCCGTGCCCAACACCGGAAACCAAGCAATAAAACTGTGCAAAAACCATCAAAACCCAAAATGTTCTAAAGATGTGATTAATCTGGTCCATGAATTTGATACGGAGTAACATTTTTAGTTGTGCTTATGCAGTGCCCAATGGAAGCAAAATGCTCAATGTAAAGAGCATCAACACGGCTCTTAACGGAAGTAACATAACAAAGTTAAAGCAAAGAGAATAGCAACAAGCAAAATTACATCGACAATTACTCATGTTAAACGACACCAAAGCAAAACGGCTCTTTGTGTTGATCTCTACACTTTGCTTTAAATGACAAGCATAATCACCCTACCATGACCATGCTTGAAAAACACTAAGCTGCAGCAAGATGTATTTCTAAATCCTCTTCAACCTGATGTAAGATGATCTTCACTCCAGGGAAAAAGTGTTCATCATGTCTCCCGTAATGAATTTTCAATGCATCCTTTGAATTGCAGCACCCAACTAATTAAGAAAGACTCGCATCTTTGCTGTTTTGAATATTGGAAGTTAAACCGTCAAGAACAACCAAACTTGATTACGATAAATAAGAGTGGAAAACAAGACCTTTGAAGTTCTCGCTGGCACACATATAAAGAACAGGCATAGAATATCTTCATGTATGGGAGGTGTGGTATAGGCATGCAGCAGAGTGCACAGTAACAACAAACTCGACTACAAATCAAAGAGGAAGCATGGTAACTTGGTAAGCCAATTTAATAGGATTGATTATGCAACCCGGTAATATTAACCACACAGGGAAAGAAGAGACCTTGGAATAAAAAAATGCAAGTATTTTGAATCTCATTTTATTTTAAAACGTAAGTATGACAAGTAACCTAAGATTAACCCTAGAAACATTATTTGAAAAAGTAGATTCAGTCTCTAATTAACTCAACAATCAGATGTGAAAAGGAAACTCAATTTTATAAAAGATTTTGAATTCAAAATTATCATATATCTACATCTAAAAAAGAAGGTAGATTCAATCTCAGATGTAATAAAAAATCAATTATAAAAAGAAAATCTAGATTAATAAAACAATTTGGAAATTCGTAATAAGTAAAAATCATCAAAGTAAACATGAATCTAAAACTTGAAAGAAAACATAGATCATATAACTGAAGAATTAGGGATGGAATGTGAATTTAATTAAAACCCAACACCATATGGAAAAAGGTATACTTTTCATTTTCAAAACCTCATTCACCTGGCAAAAACAAATTATGAACCAAAAAATAGACAAGGAGATCAATGAACAAAGGAAAATGATAGAAGTGATTTGAATTCTATTTCAAACGGATGTAAATAGAGCGTAGAAAATCGGGACACTGAGAGAGGCATTTTTTATCGGAGGAAGAAAACTTCAAAGACCAAAGCAAAACAAACATTTTTTTTACATAACGGCCTTGTCAGAATTGAATATAAACTGAACAGGGGTGCCGGGATCAACCTTTCCAAAATTGATCAATGTTCTCACAAAAGAACTGATAGATTGTGAATATGATTAGCATTACGTATTTATATCAAAAATAGCCATAAATATTTAAACTCTGGTTGGGCTCCATATCTTAGCAAATGTTTGGCAGATTGGCATATTTATATTAGAAAATTTGGAACTCAAACAAATAAAAATAAGCACAAATTCCATTAACAATAGCAAGAACCACCTACAATTCTACAAAGCAAAGGGACGATTATATGCACCACAAACTAATATTTTCTATGCTCGAGTTCGACTCAAGCTGATCAAGCTTAAATATTGAAACTCTAGTTCGACTCCAAATCTTAGCAGTTGTGTTGCTTGCCTGGTGCTTTAATAATGAAGTAGAGATGAGCTCATTTATGGATGGATGCTAGAGATACATACATTCTCCTCACTTACCGTGTGAGAAAAGTGAACTTGAGAAGTGAAAAACATATGGAGCACTTAAGACTTACAAACTAAAATTCTGCTAAAGTGGGGGTTCGATTTGGGTGGCCATTTGCATTTCCAAGAAAAATCTAACTCTTCCACTCGTGTTGTTGTGTTAATACTGATCTTAAATTTTACTTCAACCTTATTATGCACGAGCTAAAGAAAAAATTAACAATTATTATAGATTATAATTATTACAGATTATGATGACGATGATAATAATAATAATAATAATAATAATAATAAATATTGTTGTATTTATAATAATTATTATTATAATATACTCCGCAATAAGTATTGAAAATGGAATTGTCCTAAATTAGAATACATATTCCAAATATATTAATTTGCACCGCAAGAAAAGCAAAGGTAGAATTACCGGTCTGAAGCGCAATGCAAAATTAACTGGAACCATAAATTCTTTATTTTAAATCAAAAGTGGGAAAGTTAGTGGGATAACCAAAAAAGGAAAGTTGGCAAAGTTGTAAGGGACGAAGGGAGTATTTTTTTTTTAAGAAAAGAACTACAAAGACACAACTACATCTCCAGACTAATTGAAGAGCTAATTAAAAGCTATATCCACATCCAATGTTCAGACTGGAAAGCCAAATGAGAAGCACCTACCTTTATTGCACCAGAAGCTGCTTTTCGAAAATAAGCATATGAGTGAGCTGATCTTGAAGCTTCAGCATTTCCACATACGTTCTAAGTGTAATTTTCCTTGAGCAATAGGAATGAAAATCAAATTGGTCTTCAGTGATATCCAAATAATGTTTTTCTAGAGCTAGAAATTTTCTTCGAATCTCGCCCTAAGTCACCTTTCCACGATAGCTTTCCCCAGATGCTAGTTCATACTTTGAGAAAGTTTAAAACACAACAACTGTAATATAACAAACATCCATGTAATTGACATTTTATATAACTTAAATGAATTATATATATCAAGTGTAAGCAGTCAGACCTCGCTCAAAAAGTATAAATATATCTTAAAAAGTCTACAAACCAGAGTACATGAATAAACAAGAACAAATCAAGTACATATATTTTGGCTTGCAGCCATTTTGTAGTTACATACAAAATCAGGTAATATGAGTTGATGATAAACATAAAATCCAATGGGGAAAACTTAATAATACCTGCAAACTTGGTGAAAAGTGCATCCTATAGAGGTTGTTTTAACATGAAGTACCAGTATTCATTTTCTGGGTGCAAATGAAAAAGATTAATGCTTCTTTCACACTGAAATTTTAACGAATAATATCAACAACTACAAACATTTTATACTTATACAAGTCATTTTAAAAGAAGGTCTAATAGAAGTATAAGCAGGTCGCCTTTCAAATTTCACCAATCAACTTAGACCAATATAGTAGCATGGTATAAAAAAATAGAGTTTGACAAACATAGAAGACGAGGACAATTCTAAGTGATTAATGAAACTTTGTCAACCTCAAAAGACCTCATTTACTTCCTTTTAAGGAATGAAATTTGTGGTTCATATTGTTTACTTCTCTTTTGCATAAATTTCGTTTCCCGAACCTTTGTGTCAAACTGCCAATCATACTCAGGAAGTCTTGAGGGACAGGGAGTAATAATAATAAAATATACAGGAGTATTGGAGTAACCAACCTCATCTCTCAGTCCATTCGCCCGCAGGTCAAGATTTGATATGGTACCATTGCATTTAAACATATCTGCAATGTACCCTTGGCCCCTATCTGTACATGCAGGCAAGAAACTCATCATCATCATATAAGAGCAATTGACTTGCCAAGGATGGTAAATTACAAAATGTTATCAATGGATTATACCTGACACCAACCAAGCATGAGATCTTTCACATTCCCATGAAACTTAAGAGTTTTAGCTAATGTCTTTGGACCATCAGGTCCAATAAGATTATATCCAAGCTCCAAGTGGGCGAAAAAGATGAGCATTATGTCAGCTATAAATGAACATATATGAAAAGGGGAATACTATCAAATTGGCCCCTCTACTATACTCGAAAAGTCAATTAACCCCTCCTACTAAAAGAACACCCAATCAAGCACTACAACTTTTAAAAAACACTCACACTTTTGACTCTAAACAACTGGTTACACAAGTTACATGCGAAGGCGACCCACATGTCAAATTTTAATCTCTTTTTCTTTTCCATTTATTTCCCCTACCCTCTTTCTCCGTCCAGTATTTTGACCCTTGCTCCAACATCTGTAATTTGTGTGCTTCTCCTCCCTTTTCTTTAGTTTTCTTTTTAACTCTTCTCTTTTTTGTTCTTCTATAATACAAAATATTTATTAGATTAAAAGCTCGTCAGAAAGGATTCATTATACAAATAGTGCAAAGCATTCACTTTTCAACATGAAGCTTTCATCAATCACAAACTTCAAAAAGCAGCAGCCACAAAATCATCAAGTATGTCATTTTATTATAAAAAGAAGTTACTAAACCATATCTTTTACCAAGATATTATGTTTAAGGCCATGTTTGTAATGCCATTTAAGCTAATAGTAGGCTGATAATTATATAATTCAGTCAATTTTATCATGTGATTAAATTTATTTGGATAAAAGACTAAAGTGAGTTTGAGGGCAAAAAAGGAAATAATGTTTTACAGAACCATTTGATGTCCATTCATTTTTCAGAATCAAAGAAAAATTGAAGCGGAAGCAAAGTCAATATCAGTAGAATTTATAAGAAAATACAAGTTGGGGGGGGGGGGGGGGTGAAGGAAAAGAAACTGTACCAAAGAAAGAACTCAATGAGACAAATTCACGGACATCTAGAGTGCTTCATTTTTATATAGCAAGGCAGAGAGAAACCGTACCTCTATGGAACCATGGTATGTATTAAATATGCTTGAGGTCATTAATATAACTTCTTATGCCCCACCATATCAACAAGTCCACCACCATATAAGAAAAGTTGATTATGTAGTGATATGTTATTAGATAAAAAAAAAGTTTTATTAAAAAAACAGTAGAAGCTTACCCAATATCCAGCACTTTGGGGCACAACGCACACGAGCTAATGGATGAGAAAACTCATATGTTGGCCTGCCTATTCAAGAAACATGTAAGGCATCACCCTAAGGAGATAAATTCAAGAACTGTGAACACATTATGACATTCTTCCAATTTGGTTCTAGAGTTTTAAAAGCATTTCACTTTTAGTTTAAATGCGGTGAGAGTTAACAAAAATCAGAATTCAGAAACATTTACCCTGAACACGAGCAGAGCCACAATCACATTCTGTCATTCTGAGTTAATCTCTGACTTTCTTTAGCTCCAACTTCATTTTCTCTGCAGATGACATGAGAGCTGGATCAAAATACAGCAAAATAATGACACTGTCTACTTTGATGGCTTCTGTACAAAGTAAAAATAGTTTTAGTGGTTAACAAAAGAAGTATGATACCTTCTATTCATATTTGGAATCTTGTAATTATTTTAAGACTGAGAAAAAAACAAATTAACATTTTTTGTTTTTATGACATTATACTAAATTAGCGTGATAGCAATTTGACGATATATTAAATTAATCATTGCAATTACCCTAGTGTTTGCCACTTTCATTGACATTAAGAGAATAAATCTTTCAACCCATTGTTCGATGAACCCTCTTTCAATATTTCCTTCATAAGTGAGGATGCATTGTCAAGTACTTTGATCCTCTCCACGGTTGTTTCTAACTAATCGGTCATATAACAATTCATATACATCAGAATCAGTTTTTGATAAGTAGATCATGCAAATGTTAGATCCTGAGATTAAAATAATAATAGTGCA